TAAACATAAGATATACGGAGATATTTTCCCTTTAAAAATCTCTCATATGATTTGGAGACCTCTTAACTCGGATCGGGATTGAGAGATAAGTGATTCCGGTTTGAGGAACCCCATAACCACCTCGGTTCCCCCAACTTTTTAATAATTTATTTTCTAAATGTAGTACAATCCGACTTGGGAAACACCAAGTCGAGCAGGTCAAATCATAATCAAAGCGTTGGCCATTCTAGATCATATTCCAATATCACTTAAGTTTTAATTTGGCAAACAAAGGAGTTCAATTAATTAAGAGTGTGGAAAAAGTTTATATACAGTGTCAACTTTATACTGTACAAGTAACGTACACCTAAAAAAATTACTAGAGAAGGTTGTTCTTATGCTGAAAAATCCTCAAATCGATCATCTCGACCTCGAAATTCATAGAAAAGAAGAAAAGAAAATTTTTAGTCCCAAAAAGTAGTTCTTTAACACATTATTGGACTATTTATTTGAAAGATTTTTGAATGTTTATTGATCTGCTTGATTGTCACCATTTCTTAAAGTTTAAATTTTTGAGGGCAACAATAGATTTTCATATCATCACAAGGCTTTGCGCATTTTCAACATAGTTTTGAGGTACACCTTACTTGAATAGTAGAAAGTTGTCTGACACCTTATACAAACATCATGTGGGCATTTGCGGTGTTCTTGGTGCTTTTTTTCCCCAAAGACCTACTCTTCCCCAACTTTCGAGATATTATTTTCTTGAAAAGGTCTTGTAGGTGCCTCAATTGCTCCTGGCTTGAGCCTCCAATGGTCGGCTTAAGCTTAACTTTGATAGAAGAGTTCATGGTAGTATTAGTAGGTATGGTGGACTTTTCCGTGATAGCTCGGGAACAACTATCCGGTCCTACCAAGGCAAACTGCATTCTTGTGAAATCAATGAGGTGGAGCTTTGGGTATTTAAAATGGGAGTTGAGCCCAAGATCACTCAAAAGTGATTATTGAAGGAGATGCTGGGAATGTCATTAAATAGTGCACTTAGTCGGACCTTATGTCGTGATATCTTATAGGCATTATGGATGCTATTATTTTGGCTTTGACGTCGTGCAAGATCTCCTTTGTTCATGTTAAGAGAGGCTTCAACGTTGTTGCAGATTGCCTTGCTAGAGCAGCTATTGCTTAGATTCTGATTCCTTTAGCGTTGGCTTGCCCTTCTTCTTTCTTTCCTCGTCTTGCTCTGTTATTTTTTTTTTATGAACTTGTAATCTTTTCACTATCTTAATGAAATAACTACTGCATACTTCTATAAAAAAAAAAGGATTGTTTGCCGATTTTCTTTAGGTTTGAGACCGTAATGATTTCAACATGCAAAAACTGGCTCATTATCAAGGAGCCGTGTTGTTTAAATTAGGGGATGCATCAAAATACCTCTAATAGATAAGCTATTTCAGATTTTTCCCATTTGCAACTATTGTAACTCAAGATCTTTTTTCAAAATTTTTTGGATATTTTGAAATTAAATTTTAAGATCTGAGTAAAGAGTAAAGTATTAAATCGTTAATCCTTTATGAGTATTTTGATGATTTTCCCTTAAATTAGTAGTATTTTGTGGTTATTTTGGCTGACCATTTTGTCCCTTTTCATTTTCAGTACCACCTTAAAAATTTTCCCTGGTACTATAATAGTCACTGTGCTAACTCAACATTACAAGAAAACAAATGCTTTTTTTTTGGACGAGAAAGAAAACAAATGCTTTTTGTCCATGCAAAAGCAGAAGTCATGTTTAAGAACTTTGAAAATGACCCAACCAGCGTTTTAAAAAACGCCGAGTCGAACCGGACTCGCCCGGTTCGACTCGGGAATAGTGAAAAAGAAACCGGATCGTCCAAAAATCGGAAATCGTCCGGTTCTAGAGAGAACCGGACGATTCTGTACAGTGAATCGCCGATTCACTGTACAGAATCGGCGAGTCCGAACAGTGAATCGTCGATTCCGTACGGATTTTTTTTTTTTTTTTTTTGTTTTTTTTTTTTTGGTTAATTCCATGATAGATTTTTTTGTAATCCATGATCGAATTTTTGGTTTTTTGTTAACCCATAATAGAATTTTTTGTAATCCATGATCGAAATGTTTGTTTTC